AAACTAGGTTTAACTATGTTTCTTTCCTTATATCTTGGCTTTAATTTCTTTGACTTTTTCTCACTTCCTTCACACCATGTTGTTTGCCCAGAAAGGTAATAATGTGATGGGTGTCCATACTTGTATCTACAATTGATCAACAAAACTCTATTACAGTAATCTAAATATTAATAGAAAAGATAGGATGGAATGAAGAATTCCAAGCCCATTGTAGTGGTTTTTGGCTATATCATAAATCATTTAACAACACGTTTTAACCAAAAATGCTTTTAAAATGGCTGTCCGTAATGGAGTCTTGTGACAGAATGAGATTACTAAATGAAGCAGAAAACAAATATTTGCCTTTTTAGTGGTTCTGTTTGCATTTTTTTTCTGAATGAGAACATACATTGTAGTAGAGAATAAATGAAGCACATTGCAGAAACATAGCTTATTGCCAATTACGATGATCTTAAGAACCACTGAAAGTATTGAATCAAGGTCCTATAGGCTGCATATTGTAGTTTGATTGCTCTGTCCCAGTCATGTTACTCAGACAGATGTGAAGGGAGGGGTAACCTAGCAAGAGCAGTATGTCAGCACTGTGGATCCCACACATGCTTGTTCTTTAGAAAGATGACTCACATGCTAGGTTTTCATCATTTCCTTGCCATTAAATTATGTCAAATTTGAAACTGCAAAAATGTTTCATGTAATGCATATATGGAAAATGATGCTTAACAAATGTTATTCTCTTATTGAATATTTTTTCTTTAAATCAGATGTTACAGGATGTTGCCCTTCCTAAAGATTTTTTAATGGCTACATCTGATCACTTTAAAGTTTTTCAAAGAGCCATGAAAAAAATGACATATACATGTTCTAAATAAAGTTAAATTATAAATCAAAATAATTATATCTGTGCAATCCATCCCACAACATTCAGGAATAAAGGGAATACTGCATTTCTCCCCCCCCCCCCCNCCCCCCCCCCCCCCAATTCTCATGGAAGGCTGCTTCTAGAAGAAATGAGTCATGCTTTGGTCTCTCTGAAACCAAGATCTGAGATGACTAAATCCCAACTGCAATGACTAACTTCAACCCAGCCCAGACCATACATTTTCTGAAAATGATGGTGAGGTAAAGGATATTCCTCCAGCCCTGAGCTTCAGTTAAGCTGGTCCAATGGAGCACACATGCTTAGAGTATTGCCTGACTCTTTCAAAATCAGCACAAGTTACACAGCCGTGCTCTTTTATGGATTACCGCAATATCATATACAGATAGTCCTTGACTTACAACAGATCATTTAATGACCATTCGAAGTTACAACAGCACTGAAAAGAGTGACTTATGATTGTTTCCCATTCTTATGATCATTGCCGCATCTCCATAGTCACGTGATCAAAAATCAGATGCTTGGCCTCTGATCTCATATTTATGACGGTTGGAGTAAAGTCAATGGGGAAGCCAGATTCACTTAATAATCATGTTACTAACTTAACAACTGCAATGATTCACTTAGCAACTGTGGCAAGAAAGGTAATAATATGGGGCAAAATTCACTTAACAACTAACCCACTTAGCAACATTAATTTTGGGCTCAATTGTGGGCGAAAGTCAAAGACTACCTGAAAAATGTTACTTCAGTGCATTGTTTCAACAGATGAATTAAAGAGATTCAAATTGGATTTGAAAAAAAATATTACAACTTCAGAAGCTGATAATCAAATAAAAGTGGGAAAAAAAGAATATTGGTGAGAACAAGAAAACTTTATATACTGAATCCTTACAAAATAAAAACAGAGCTTACTTTGCCAACAGAAGATCTCAGGAAGCAGCTTGGAAAAGAAAAAAATGATTTAGCATCACCAAAATAGTGAAAATATTCACATTGTATGCTGGCCTATCTTTATTATCTGTTTAAGAACACATTTTATTTTCATTTATCCTAATTTTCTCTCGCATATTCACCATTATTTCAGGATTTTCTTGATAAGGTTTGAGAATACCACATATTTAGCCCAGATGTATACACTTTTTATTTAGCTTTTCCATTTCATACTTTCATTTTAAAATATTAATATTAGCAAATCCACAGCTCTGAGATTTCTTTTCCTTTTATGCATGTTTCTAAGGATCACACTCTGGTCTTCATTACTAAAAGGAGTTCTTAGTAAGAGTTGTTTCTGATAAATGGGGAAACTTCCATAAAATTGAAAACTGATCCCCCCCTTCTGGTTATACTGCAGTACTTACGCTAAAAAATCATGCCATCTAAAAATACAACTACTTTTGCTCATTTTAAAATTTCGGGTAAAAGAGGATCTTTACTAAGAAAATAAGAGATAACTAATGTTAGTATATCTGTGACCAGGGCTTTTTTTCTCATAGAATGCCCAGAACGGAGTTCCGGCACCTTTTTTGGATGGAACCTTGTAGGGTAGGCAAGGCGGGTTGTATGAAGTGTGTGAGTTCTGGCACCTTTTTTTTTTTTTTTTAACAAAAAAGCACTGTCTGTGACTAAAAGACGTTGGATAGTTATCGCCTTAACAATTTAATGCCTAAAGATATTTTTTGAAAAGTAACTTCAAAATACCTACCCATCAGGTAAATAGCTATAAAAAGAAAAAGCCAATAAGAATTTGTTTCCCGCATACAAACCCAAAACCACTAATGAACTAGTTAATCCTATAACCCATAAAAAAGGAACTTAATGACTGTTAATATTGTCCTCTATTAGTCCCAACTAGTAAGTACAAGGATTATAGGATTTGGCTGAGCCATAGACACTTCAAGCTATCAGAAAGCAATCAGTAGAATTTGGAAAGAATTCCAGAGGAAAGCTATACACAATGGATCAAAAATTCCTATGACAATCAGGAGGGAAAGAGAGCAGTGTAAAAAAGAATGAAAAAAGTAGTGCTAAGGACTTTGTAATTTAAAAAAGGGGAGGGGGAGAAGAACATTTATGTTAAAAATTGATGTGCTATTTTAATCACTGTGGTTTATGTATAGGCGATGTGGAGATGACATAGCAATGTGGAAATCTGCTCCCATTCCATTTGTACCTTCTCATTCAGAACTCATTCAAGGAGACTATTTGATTGAAGTTATTTGCAAATGTTTGAAAGTTCCAAATAGGCTCTAAATTTTATACACCTGGGTTTTTTTTTTTTTTTTAAAGAGAGGTAATGAACACTCCATTGCTGGCGGTCTTCAAGAAAAGATTGGACAACCATTTGGGCAGGAGGTTGGACTAGAAGGCCTCCAAGGTCTTTTTCAGCCCTATCATTTTATGAATTAATTGATTAAATTACCAATCAAGGGGCAATTCTTGAATATAATTAGGGGATGCAACATTCCCAGAAAAATCAACTTTCAAACATTCTAGTGTAGAAATGGAGAGATAATTCTGCCCCTTTGCAATGTACTTGTTCAAATTAATATTTTTTCATCATTTAATCCTGTTATTAACTTATTTTAAACAAGACCTATATGCTAGCAATAATAGCACAGAGTTGGAATGTGAACATTAAAAATAAATCAAGGACACAATGAAGATGCATTGCTGTCTGCCTTATCTTTTTCGTAGTCCCCGGGATTTATTTTAAATTCAACAGTAGTAAAAGTGAAAAACTGTCCAGATGTTTTAAACACTGGTATAACCCCTAGAGCA